TTTTGGCTATTGCTACAAATATACCCCAGCGACTTAAGACTGCTTTTGTGCTCCAGGGTCACATTTACACTGTCTGAATCGTTCCATATCCCCCATATAGTGCACTACGTGCCATTCAGCATACAGAAAATACTAATTCTGTGAACAAGTGACCTATTTCAGCCGCAGTGTCAGCGTCTATTTATAGTGCAGGGGGCGGGTCATTTCAGATTCTAGAGAGCATTTGATTGCACACAAAATTTGTCATAGTTTTGGAGCACACTAGCTTATAGATAACTATAAGTCTAACATATTCATACTAAAAGCCAAAAAATTTAAATTTTGATTTCATGGGGACTTTAAGCGTGCGTCTCCGGACACTGTTTCTATGGCAACCAGAGCCTCTAACAGCAGCTGCAGTGATGCGATGACTTTAGCAAATTACTCTTTTAGCAGGTGCGACTTATTCTGCCATACTGTGCATTGCACTTTTCTCCCTTTTATAGTAATAAGAGTGCACAATCTTGGTATTTCAAAGTCTTTGTTTTGTGCATACTGCTGTAAAAAAAAAAAAAAAACATTTTTTGCACAAATCTGTTCCTGTGGCTCAGTGGTAGAGCATTGCGTTAGCAGCGCAAAAGGTCATGGGTTCCCAGGGAACACACATACTGGTAAAAAATGTATAGCCTGAATGCACTGTAAGTCGCTTTGGATAATAGCGTCTGCTAAATGCATAAATTAAAAAAAAAAATTAATCTGTTGCATGGACCGACCTACTCTGTCCCGGATGGAGACTGAAGACAGCGCAGCACTCCGGCTGGAGCCCTCGAACCTTCAGCGCTTTGATCAGACAGCTGTGGAGCGTCAGGCCTGGCCGTACATTCACCTTCAGGAGCGTGCACATCATTGCAAAGCACAGAAACACACAAGATAATCCATGCATATGATTTTAATTTCACATCCTTTAAACAATACTTGCAAGCAGACTTAACTGCCAGCTACAAGCAGACTACCTTCCAAGGAAGAACTTAAGTTTTACTTGTTTGAGACAGATTATTGTAGAAAGGAAATTATTGCTTAAAACTGTACTACTGTAATTACAACAGTTTTGACCATACCCTTCAATATACACAATACACAATACTGTGTATTTTTCCACTTGCACTACTGAATGTTTAGCAGTAGCCATACAGTGGCAACCTTGGCTGAAGCGTTTATTTTAATATTTGTGAAATATGACTGAAATGCGTTTTCCCTGCTACTCTATCATGAACAGAAATCTAATCTGGCTCTCTCACCACGGTCCGCTGCTGGTTGGGTAGGAAGGCTCGGATGGTGCGGCTGGTTCTGGAGTCGTCTGAGGAGCGGTGCTGACATGGCACTCCTTGGATCACAGGAGACATGCATGAGCTCTCAAACACAGACTCCTTCATTCCCAGACTGTTGGTGATGGATCTCCATGCTCCCTGAAGCTGCTCCATTACAATAGCCTCTAGCACTCACGTCTGGAAAAAACAAAAACAAAAAAAGTGTGATTCTACGAACTGTACCATGATGCTAGCTGAACAAACTCAGGGTTACAGGATTAGTTCTGAGCTGACAAAACCAAACCAATTCACTCAGGCTTTGTTGGTTTGTAACCATGACACGGATCATCAAATTTCTCTGTCAGCTCAGGCTCTGATCCTGAGTTTATGGAGCGCGTGCACATGAAATTGGCCAATCACGTGCCATAAAAGACAGAGAAACTGCGATTTGCTTCTTGTGAGAGAGTCGGTGCTTGATTGAAAATTTCTTTACAGAGTAAAAAGACAAAAGTTGTCTGTGAAAGAGGACAACTAAAACAAAACAATCTTGCTTTGTCAGTGCAAGTGGAAGTTGTGAAGTTTATATAGTTTATATGTGACCCTGGAGCACAAAAGCAGTCTTAAGTCGCTGGGTTATATTTGTAGCAATAGCCAACAATACATTGTATGGGTCAAAATTATAGATTTTTCTTTTATGCCAAAAATCATTAGGATATTAAGTAAAGATCATGTTCCATGAAGATATTTTGTAAATTTCCTACCGTAAATATATCAGACCTTAATGTTTGATTAGTAATATGCATTGCTAAGAACTTCATTTGAACAACTTTAAAGATGATTTTCTCAATATTTTGATTTTTTTGCACCCTCAGATTCCAGATTTTCAAATACTTGTATCTCAGCCAAATATTGTCCTATCCTAACAAATAAAACCTTGTTTATTCAGCTTTGAGATGGTGTATAAATCTCAGTTTAAAAAAACTGACCCTTATGACTGGTTTTGTGCTCCAGGGTCACATATAGTTGATATTATATGTAGGTATACAGAGACTCAAAGTCATTTTTAAAGCTTTACCTATTGATTTGAAAGCTTATTTTTAGATTAGATATTATGTATCATTTGCATATATATACTGAGAGTGACTTTATTTACAACTATAAACTGGCTTAATGGTATAGGATGGTCAATTATTGGATGTTATTAGTAAACTATAATACGTTAAATCATTCAGGAACATGACTGAACAATACCAATAAACTACTGCCGTTACTGAACTTTGATGCCAGTCCCAAGCTCTGTGTAAAAGGCTACTATTACTCCCACCAAATAAAAACCTTAGATCTTACACTTTTACATTTTGTCATGCAGATGTTACAGTCCCTTAGGCAGCTTTAAAGAACTGGTCCATAAATAATAGTATTACTTGTATCATATGGTTAAATTCACAAATCAGGCAACCAACTGGACCTTATTTACACACGACACTGCTCCACTGATCATGTACTGGTTACTCCACTGCACACCTCGGATCACTTCCTCCTCACTCTTAACCTCAACATGGTTCCTGACACAACACATACCCCTCCACATGTCAGTTACAGGATTAGTTCTGAGCTGACAAAACCAAACCAATTCACTCAGGCTTTGTTGGTTTGGAACCATGACACGGATCATCAAATTTCTCTGTCAGCTCAGGCTCTGATCCTGAGTTTATGGAGCGCGTGCACATGAAATTGGCCAATCACGTGCCATAAAAGACAGAGAAACTGCGATTTGCTTCTTGTGAGAGAGTCGGTGCTTGATTGAAAATTTCTTTACAGAGTAAAAAGACAAAAGTTGTCTGTGAAAGAGGACAACTAAAACAAAACAATCTTGCTTTGTCAGTGCAAGTGGAAGTTGTGAAGTTTATATAGTTTATATGTGACCCTGGAGCACAAAAGCAGTCTTAAGTCGCTGGGTTATATTTGTAGCAATAGCCAACAATACATTGTATGGGTCAAAATTATAGATTTTTCTTTTATGCCAAAAATCATTAGGATATTAAGTAAAGATCATGTTCCATGAAGATATTTTGTAAATTTCCTACCGTAAATATATCAGACCTTAATGTTTGATTAGTAATATGCATTGCTAAGAACTTCATTTGAACAACTTTAAAGATGATTTTCTCAATATTTTGATTTTTTTGCACCCTCAGATTCCAGATTTTCAAATACTTGTATCTCAGCCAAATATTGTCCTATCCTAACAAATAAAACCTTGTTTATTCAGCTTTGAGATGGTGTATAAATCTCAGTTTAAAAAAACTGACCCTTATGACTGGTTTTGTGCTCCAGGGTCACATATAGTTGATATTATATGTAGGTATACAGAGACTCAAAGTCATTTTTAAAGCTTTACCTATTGATTTGAAAGCTTATTTTTAGATTAGATATTATGTATCATTTGCATATATATACTGAGAGTGACTTTATTTACAACTATAAACTGGCTTAATGGTATAGGATGGTCAATTATTGGATGTTATTAGTAAACTATAATACGTTAAATCATTCAGGAACATGACTGAACAATACCAATAAACTACTGCCGTTACTGAACTTTGATGCCAGTCCCAAGCTCTGTGTAAAAGGCTACTATTACTCCCACCAAATAAAAACCTTAGATCTTACACTTTTACATTTTGTCATGCAGATGTTACAGTCCCTTAGGCAGCTTTAAAGAACTGGTCCATAAATAATAGTATTACTTGTATCATATGGTTAAATTCACAAATCAGGCAACCAACTGGACCTTATTTACACACGACACTGCTCCACTGATCCTGTGCTCGTTACTCCACTGCACACCTCGGATCACTTCCTCCTCACTCTTAACCTCAACATGGTTCCTGACACAACACATACCCCTCCACATGTCA